ACAGTGTTCGTAATACGTTACTCTCCCACAGCTCGCACAGCCTGTTGGGCTGCGTTCATGCTTTGCGTCAGCGCTTCAGCGATCAGGAAGGTGTAGGTATCAATCGCGGCAGCGCTTCGAGCGTACGCCTGCTGTAGGACGTCTTGAACGAATAGACGAGTAAGTTTATCGATCTAGCCTTTCGAGAGTACGCCAGCGTTTCCAGCGACTGCCCGCGAAAGCGCTCAAAACGCGGCCATACGCTCAAAACGGTGGTGCAGAGTACAAAGGCAGCCTTACATGGATTGAACTTGTGTTGTTTCACACTGCAAGAAATATGCGATCGCGCGATTAAGCGACTCGCCAGTTAACGTGGGAGCTAGTACACCGTCATATTTGTTTGCTCATCGTCGAGGTTGGCGAGTAGGTTTCTCGCATTTCACCTAATCGCTAATCGCGTGCGACTATGAATACAAGCCCTAAGCCCTGGTTGCGCGCTTTCCGACTAATTCAGTATCATGAAGGAAAATAGGGAGGAGCGGGATGCGTAGCAAAAGTGTGAGAGTAACAGAGGGCTGCACTCAAAGCAAGTCCTCTAGGTGTAGTTGGCGATGCACAAGAAAAGAAGGCAGGAAGCGGTTGTAAACTGGCCAGAATATTTCCATGTTCCCGACCGTAATATTCTCCGATTTGATTTCATGAATGGTCTTATAGCTAGCTTTGCGTCATTTCTATATGTGCTCGAATATTTCACTGTTTTCTAGTTCAATTTCAAAATCGTAATTAGTGGTCAAGATGGCGATCGACAGGATCGAGCAGGTGGTGCAAAGTCGGCCGGAAATGCTGCACACAGCTTCCGCGATCAAGTGGGAATCGTATCACATATATTCTGTTTCAATAATTTTTGACGAATTCTTCCAGAAGTGTAAAGATCCCGAAGCTTGAAATCAATGGAGCGGAAGTGAGGAGCTTCTTCTTCAAACCGAAGCCGCTGCGCTGCGACAAAAATCCGACAAATTGGGTTTATATTGACGACAAACATCTAGTGCAGTACATTAAGCAAAGGTGCAACTTATGTTTAAGCTTTTTCCTTTTTGGGATGCTCATTTTTACAGAAAGAATGCAGAGTGCCGAGGAGAGTATGTTACTCGAAAAGACGATAACAATAACCACATAAATCCTTTTGACTCTCTTCCTAGTGGAAAACCACTAAGTTCAGACTTCGCAATTGTGCATTGCGTAGATGGAACGGAAAAGTGGTGAGGTCTTTTTGGCAGTTATTAGTTTCAAGATGCGTTGAATAAGTTCTAGAAATGGATTTTCAGGAGTGGGATACTGATGAGCGTAGTGAGGCGAGATGAAAACCAGCTGCTCAGGAAAAAAGTTACACCTGCACCTGATAGTTCAGGCCTAAATGTCTTCTTCCTCGGATTTGATTCTCTCAGTCAGATGTCATTCAGAAGGAAATTGCCGAAAACCGTAGAAGTGCTAGAGAATTCTCTCGGTTCTGTAGTGTTAAATGGTAAGAGTTGAGAAGAAAATTCATTTAGTGCACAAATTTTGTTTGGTTCAAGGCTATAATATTGTGGGTGATGGAACACCTCAAGCTTTTATACCTATTCTCACATCTTCCACGGAAGAAGAGCTCCCGCTGACAAGGTTGGAAGATTTTGTTGGACTTCTTTTTTATTCTATGTCAAGCTGTCTTTTACTGAAAACCGCCTTAGTAAGTGAAACGGGCGAAAACTGCTATCACCCCTCACCTGTTCACTCACCTGGTTCCTGCTCCCGTTGATCATCGAGTTCTTCGAGCGGGCGCCAGTAACGTCTCCATTCGTCCCTGCAACGTGCAAGAGTTGCCCAATGAACTCTCTCAGCTCGAGGGACACGATGAACTTCATACCATTCGTTCAGAGCTTTCACGAAGAAATCTGACCATCGCGTAGGCGGTCTTCCAGGCGTTCGCTTGACATCCCGTGGAATCCAGTCGGTGATTGCTCTGGTCCAGCGGTCGTCCTCGAAACGCATGACGTGTCCGGCCCACCTGATCTTCGAAACCTTGGCAAATGCGGCGGCGTCTCTGATCTTCGATCGTTGGCGGAGTGCGGAGCTCCGGATTCCCTCTCTCACTTGCGTGTAGCGGGAAACTCCGAGCATCGCCCTTTCGATGGCGCGTTGAATAACACCGACCGCATGCTCATCCTGCTTTCGTAGAGTCCAAGTCTCTGAGGCGTACGTCAAGGCAGGAAGGACCGCGGAATCGAAGAGGTGGGCACGGAGCTTGGTGTTCTTCGTCTTCTTCGCTACTCCCTCGATGTTCTTGAAGGCTCCCCAAGCCGCTCGCTTCCTCCTGCTCAGCTCTGGAGCTAGGTCATTCATCATATTGATTTCACGACCTAGGTACACATAGCTAGAGCATTCAGAGATGGTCGTTCCGTTGAGCGTGAATGGGGCATCAGATACCAATCCGTTTCTCATGAACATCGTCTTCGTTAGGTTCAGCCGTAGACCGATTCTTCCACACGCGCAGTCGAATTCAGCCAGCATTCGTTCCGCTTGCTCGATGTTTGGCGTTATCAAAACGATGTCGTCAGCAAAGCAGAGATGGTATAGTTGCCGACCGTCGATCTTCACTCCCATGTCTTCCCATTCCAGTTGACGCATGACGTTCTCGAGAGGCGCTGAAGAGCTTGGGCGAGATGGTGTCGCCCTGTCGGACCCCTCTCTTCACATCAATGATGATCTCCTTGTAGAATGGTGATCTTGGTCGTGAAGTTGCTGTAGAGCTCACGAAGAATCCTGATGTACTGAGTAGGAATACCCTGGTTGCCCAGGGCTTCGATAACCGCTTCTGTCTCAACGGAGTCGAAGGCTTTCTTCAAGTCGATGAACGTGAGACATAAGGCATCTTGTACTCTCGCGATACTTCAATGAGCTTCGTTACCGTGTGGATGTGATCGATCGTGCTGAATCCTCTTCGAAACCCTGCTTGCTCGCATGGCTGTCCTTCGTCTAGTGTTCTGCCAATCCTGTTCAGGATGACTCGTGTGAAGAGTTTGTAGACTACAGACAGCAGGCAGATTGGGCGATAATTGCCAATGTCGTACAGGTCTCCCTTCTTGTACAGCAACACAGTCTTGCTGGTTTTCCACGAGGTGGGTACCTTGCATTCCGACAGGTAGCGCGTGAAGAGTCGAGCCAGAGTTTTGACAAGAACTGGCGGAAGATTCTTCAGATGTTCGGGTCTGATCCTGTCGGGACCGGGTGCCGTACGATTCTTCACCGACGAGATGGCGTGTCGGACTTCGGAAGAGAGAACTGCAGGAACGACATATCCATCCTGCTCCAAGCGTATGTGGTGGACGGCTGTCAAAGAGATCCGAGTAGAAGTCGTGGATGACCTTCTCCATTGCCCTTCTGGATGCGGTGATTGTTCCATCCGGACGTCGGAGGGCGGTCATCTTGGTCTTACAGTTGGCGAAGTCGCGGCGGGCGTTGCGTACGCTCTTCCCAGCCTCTGCGGCTTCCACCAGTACTGCTGCTCTTCTCTCCTTGAGGTCTTCCTTTATCGCTTCTCTGCATAGCTTCGCAAGCTCAGACGTCAGCTGGTAATTGCCTGCGGCTCGTGCGGCTCCACGTTGGCGAATCAGCTCGAGAGTTTCCAGAGATAGACGCTTCTTGGTAATCTTGGAACCCTCTGACTTCTTGGCGCAGTCGTGAAGATGTGCAACAAGCCTTTCGTATTCCTCGTCGATGTTGTCAATGACAGAATCCTCCCAGAGCCCAGCGAGAGAAGTGAAGTGATCCCAGTTGATGGTGGTCTTGGGGCTTCGCTTCTTGAACTTTGCGGCTCTCTCTCCTCGCATCGAAAAGCGGAATCTTGCGCGAAGAGTCGGATCCCGTGTAGAACTTAGACAACAGGCATCGTCAGCAAAACCTTCGATTGCAGATGATGTGTTCGATCTTCGTATATCCAACAAGCCTTTTCCTGGTTTATAGGAACGAAATAAAGAAAACTGCTATAGGATTTTTTTTCAAAAACTTATCATAAACAGGCGTTGATCCAGGTTTGTTTTAGTATTCCATAGTTTCTATTTATGGTTGTTCGAAAGTCCTGCGAACACTTTTGATCGAATGTTCTAACAAAAGACCAAAAATTCATTTGGATGGTTTTTATCCCTTGTTTAGTGAAGAATACAATGCTCCTGGGGTTTCTGCACATGGGTATATCATGACTTTGTGGAAGTTTTCAAAGCTTAAAAGTCCCGCAGAGATCGAGGTACTTTTCGACCTATCCCATATTATGAGTTCCTGTAGGGCAACTCCGCCGTAGTCGAGGAAGCTAACACTTACGTTGTCTTGAGGAAGGAGATCGCTTGCCATGAAAAGGGTAGCTGTTGCATCAGCGCTTCCAGGCTGGACTTATTTAACTCGTAGTTAGGCAATGTGTAGGTCGCCCACCAGCACAGAATGACGACCCTTTACTCAAGCTTCTTGAGGCGCAGCCGAAGGTAACCCCAGTAAGTTGGCAACCTCTCTAGGCTCCACCTGCCTGACAACTTCCGTGCTTCTCCGCAATCTCGTTATCGGAAAAATTCTATGTGAAGGATGCCTCATGAGTTGGACCCGTCTGACAAGTCATACCGAATGACCGCATGTGGGAATCAGGCCACGTCAAAAAATCATGAATTTTGATCAGAGAATGCGACCGTACCCAGGTTATTCAGCAAAGTTAGCGGCCTCTAATTATCACCTCTTTTGGTCCCTATTGCATCCTTTGAAGAGCAAAAAGCCCGAAAATCGACCTCAACTCGAGAATGAGGTCCACCTCTTCTTTTTATCACAGTTGCCGTAGTTCTATGAGAATGGAAATGAGAAGCTGTGCAAAAGAAGGGCACTAGTCCTAGTCATCAACTATGGTTACCTTGTGGATTGGAGATGTCTTTGGGTGACAGAAAATTTAGTGCGAAAAATTTGGTCCAAAGTGTCGCAGGACTTTTCGAACAACCTAATATATATCCAGAAAACGTTTTCCTGATGCGAATTACGTCGACGATGTGTATCCGTTCATTTGGAATAACTTTTCATCGGCTGGATATGTAACCTTATATGGAGAGGATGCCTTTGCTATAGGTAGGTTGTTCATGTTTATTAGAGTTTGTGAGGGGTAGTGACAAGACAATCGCAATTCAACGCATAGTTGAGCGTCGCGTGTGACGGCGCCCCGCAAATGGCAGTGTTTCTAGGTCGTAGGCAACAGACAGTAGTAGTATACTCCTCATCATTACGGACTGTCGGGGCGGGTCAGTGCGGCTGCGTTTTCCGCGGTTCCAAAGTCTTTCTGCACCAGTTGTTGAAGCGATCAAATGACATAACAGCATTATATCCTTCGTATTACTCGTTTTCTACCACTTTTTGTCGCATACGCGCTTCAACGAAAAGGCTGAGAACGGCTTCAAACAGTGTGCGCACTCCTACTGGCTGATACGCCCCGACAGTCCGTAATGAAGAGGAGTGTATATAACCCTAAGCCATAAATATGTGCGGAAAAGCAGTCTATGTGAAAGAAACCCAATGCTTCAGTCTGGTGGACATTGAGAAAAGGCCGCGCCCATCGCTGTGGGCGAGAGACGACAAATTACGTTGACCGTCTCCCGTTTATGAGTGGCAACCAGTTGCGTGCAACAGAACGAATCTAGTGCAGTTAATCACCCTGCTTTCTGTCGCATCAGGGCACATCATTGGTTGGGGATTTTAGTCGAGTCTGTACGACCCCCCTCCCCTCCGGCCCTCTGTCCCTCCTCATCGAATCGAGCCGTCGAGCGGGGTTGGGGAGGGCGGGGGGTATATACTACACATGACAGTAAAATCACGAAGAAAAGTCAACCACCACTCCCAATAACTCCTGGAAGGCCAAAAAGTAAATACGACCCCCCCCCCCCTCCCTTTACAACGTCCGTGAAGCGAGAAAAATCAACTATCAAAATAAATTTTTCCTCAGCCCAAATACGACCCCCCTGTTGGGGATTCCCAACAACGATGTGCCCTGTGTCTCACTGTCATTAAGGATAGTCTCTCTTATTGTTGTGTTGTTTTTAGTGTGTGTGTGTGTCGAAGTGAGTGAAGGTGTTGTGGTCGACGTGAGTGAAGGGGTGGTCATGAGCCGAAGGAACGTTACCTGTAGGAGTTGTCTCAACCATTTGCGAAGGAGATATGTATGGTCCTTCGTCTATGAACAGAGATGTGACGCGATGTGTTCATTATGTAGGGACTGGTCGCTCGCACTTTCGCCCGCGCGCTTCTTCGAATGTTCGCTCAATACTGGAGGCTTATTTAAGGCACCTTCGATGGTTTTCCCCACCTTTTTCCTTACTGGTAGGTCATTGAGCATCCACGAATTGATATTTGGACCCCAAAGCTGACGAGTTACAGTGCGGGATGCATCTTCAGGATAATGTGGAAGGTAGCACTGTGAAAATATCGAATCTGTAGCCACATTGCACGGTTGTAGAGCAAGTATGCAGTTTGTCCTGGTCGAATAAACCCGCCAACACGCTCTGGACCCTGTCACGCTCACCATTCATTCTCTCTTTGTGATCACGTGACACCTTTGAAATTCCTTCATCCCATTTCCGTGCGAGTTCATCATACCATGACTCATTATTTCCCATTGCATCGCGAAATTAAAAGGAAAAAGGGATCAAAGTTTCCCGCAGAGGGGAGCAATCTGTGACCGCGAAATAGGGGACGTTTGAGCAGTTCGGCGACGGAGGAGGAGGGAGGGAGCATTTTGCACTTTTGCTGCTTCCCATCGACGCATCCACCCATCTACAGGGGGGGGCAAAAAAGTCACTTTCTTCATTGACTTTCGAGGCGCTATAAGTTACACTTTATCAAATTCTGATCGGACATTTTTACCACCATATTGAAGAGCATATTAAATACTATCATGACACTCCGCCACAGCCTTCTGGACGAGCGCCATCGAGAGATTCTGGCACGCGACCGCGATGTGGTGCCTGAGATCAGCGAGATAGTCGATTTCTCCGCCACCGTAGACCACCCTATTGAACTCCGCCCGAACCGGGTAATTGAGGGGATTCAGGTCAGGTGACCTACTTGGATATTCCACCTTCTTTAGGTATTCAGCCCCTTCCATTCCAAGTAGGCGAGAGTTTCTCCAATGCCCTTCGATTCCATGTGGTGGCACCCAATGCTGTAGCAGTACAAAGTTTCCAAGAAGGTACGGGCGACGACATGTGAGGAGGATATTCTTCACGAGTTGCGATGTAACGCCACAGCCTCACCGTTCAGTCGGGTCCACGAAGAAAATATTTGTCTTTCCATTGCAGGACCACGCTCCGGCCAATACCACCAGCTTGCCCTTGGGACTGGCGTGAAAATGTGTTCTAGCCATGCGAAGCTTGCGCCGAGCTGCTCGATGTTGAAGGCCTTTCATATCGAGGGTGCTGGTCTCCAGGTAGCTATCCATGGGTGGCTCCGTACTAGAAGTTTCGCAGCTGTTTGGAGGTGACATGAATTCCAAAGGTCTTCTCCAGTCAGGCTGCGACTGGAGATGATTTCATATTTTGGTGTACATGAAGGTGATGGGCGAGAGCCAGCTCCTGCTTATAGAGGAACATCTTAGGTATCTTTCGCCTGCATACTCGTATCCACGTCCTCTGTCTGGGCAGCGAAACTTG